TAATTACACGCCGCTAAATTCTTCCCTGCATGTTTGTGCTGCTGATGACAGAATGTGTATTTTTTTTAAAAAAAAATGCTGCTATATATTAAATAGATGAATTCCTTCCTCTAATGTAATCCAGATTCCGAATATTGTGCTCTCTGTTAATGTCAGAATCAAAGTAAGGTATTTATGGTTCTGTCCACAGTTCATGGAAGCTCAACGATGTCTGGGCGTGTTCTTCTTTTCCATGGTCTTGCAGAGGTTTTACTCATTTTCCTAGCGCATGCAGGGATGTGCTAATAAATCACATTGGTCACCATGAACTTTAATTTTATTTGTTCTTGGGGGTGGTGGTGGTAGGGTTGGTATGTAGACAGTATAGTTACAAAGCTAGCACAATCTCTGGCCCCCCAAGGGGAAAGCTAGTGAAAGGGTGGTGGTTGAAGTGAGAATAGTCTACTCTCCTAATGAGTATTATGGGAAAGAAAGTAAGACTTATGGGAAGTGGCTGTTCCAGAAAACAGCTATGTATTTGTTTGTTTGTTTATTTAATTCATTTATACCCCACCTTTCTCCTCAACAAGGACTCAAAGCAGCTTACATCATTCTCCTCCATTTTTATCCGCACAACCCTGTGAGGTAGCTTAGGCTGAGGATGTGTGAATAGCCCAAGGTCACCCAGCAAGCTTCCGTGGGAAGAGTGGGGATTCGAACCTGGGTCTCCCATATCCTAGTCTGATACTTTTTAACCGAGTGACCCCACACTGGCTTTGCAGGGGAATGGGTTGGGAGAAATCACAGCTTCTCTAGGAATAATGGGGGTGGGGTTTTCCCTCAGCCATTAGAGACAGGGCCTCTTCTGCAGTGGCACTCCACCTGTGGAACACCCTCACCTCACCAGTTTGCCTGGTACTTCCTCTCCTCTTTGTTTTCCGAGGCAGCATGCTGAAAAGGGATTTTTCAAAGCGGTCACTTCATTCGTCGTGCCTGGAGGAGTTTTTATTTAGCTACGTGGGCCAATCCCCATTGATAAATCCTTCCTCCAAGAAGTTCTTTAACTCTCTCTCGGGCCCTCTTGGCCAGGCCCCATGACTGCCTCTTGTGACAGTGAATCCTGTACATGAATTGTTTTACTTGCTTCGTTAGTACCGTGGCTTTCTCCTCAGTGGGGGCCCAGATCAAGTTATGTCCTTCTCCTCTCCTCCATCTTATCATCACAGCAACCCTCTGAAGTCGGTTAGGCTGAGAGTGTGTGACGGTCACCCTGTGAGCTTCTATGGCTGACGAGGGATTTGAATGTGGGTCTCCCGTATCCTAGTCTAGCACCCTAACTACCGCACCACACCGGCTTATATTGTCTTGTCTTGTCTTAAAATGCCTTCTGTGAAGAGGCACTTTCTTTTGCCTGTTCTGATTCTCATGCTGATCTTGATCGAATGGCTCCTGACTTCTAGGATTATTAAAAGAGGACAGCAGAATTCTCCCCTCCGCTCTCTGGTCTCACTTCAACTCAGGTAGAATTTTGTAAATCTTTTGTCATGTCCCCCGCACCATATGCCTTCTCTCCGATCTAAAAATCCATAGACACTTTAAGGTTCCTTTATTAGGAGAAAGCGCCAAGCCCTTTTTTATTTTTGTTGTTCCGTCCTGCAGCTTTCCCCATCTATTTTTCCCAGTTTCTTTTTGAGATGAAGCAACTGCGTGGAAATTTCCCCTGCCTCTGCACAGTAGATTACTCCAAGTGTTCTGTAGCTCTGTTCTTGAGCAGAGAGGCCAATTAGAGGCTGCATCCGAAAACACTCAGCATCTCAACAGCGCTGAAATCAGGGTGTACCGTGAGGTCACAGGCTGCCTCCTACCAATGGATAAACACCTCCTTGCCTTGTTGAACTAGGGTGAAGGGCATAGAATGAACTGTAATGGCTGGACTGTAAAAGCCGTGCTCTGGCGTTTAAAGGCATTGTAACGCAGCTGCCATTGTCCCATCAAACCCATTATCTTCCTGCCTCACTCATGCAGCAGGTGTCCTCAATCCTGCAAAGCCTGTGGGTGCTTTTTATAGTTGGAGAACAGGCAGTGGGCACCATAACAAAATGATTGCTGGGGGGAGGGGCGTTATCTGGGTCCAATCACACAGTGCCAGGAGGCTCCACAGGATGCTAGGGGATTTCATGATGGAAGCATCCATTTCCAAATGCGTGCTCCCTGCAGACTTAAAGGTGATATCTCTTGGGCTCATCAGAAGCAGCTCATACTTCTTGGAGAACAAGTGGGTGGGTGGCACATTGAGGGTGTGTGTAAAGTGCCGTCAAGCCGCAGCCCACTTACTGAGACCCCTCAAGGGGTTTTCAAGGCAAGAGATGTTCAGAGGTAGTTCACCATTGCCTGCCTCTGCATCGGGACCCTGGGCTCCCTTGGTGGTCTTCCATCCAAGTACTAGCCAGGGCCAACCTTGCTCAGCTTCCAAGATTTGACCATTATTTATTGTATTAATGAAATATTGTTTTTATTGCACTGATGAGATGTTGTTTCCCTCCCTGAGCCTGCTTGTGGGAAGGTCGGGCTATAAATATGAAGAAATAAAATAAAATAAATTGTCTGGGCTATCCAGGTAGGGTCAGGACGTTGAGGGTAGGGATAGGCATGTCTGGTTCCACCTCTGTTGGAGGTCCGTTCATTCATTCATTCATTCATTCATTCATTCATTCATTCATTAGTTAAGACTTTTAAACCACCCTCCCCTGTATACACAAGACTCAGGGCGGTGAACAACAATAAACCACATTAATAAGTTAATACAATTTAAAACAATGATATAATAAACAATTAGAACGTCCAGATGGTGCTAAAACTTCAGATTATGCCACTGCCTTGCAGCGGGATGCAGGGAAACGGAGAAAGGGGGTGCCAGAAGAGATGGAACCCGTCACTGTCCTCAATCATAGGCCTGACAGAACATCAGTTTGGTGTAGTGGTTAAGTGTGCGGACTCTAATCTGGGAGAACCGGGTTTGATTCCCCACTCCTCCACTTGCACCTGCTGATGTGACCTTGGGTCAGTCACAAGCTCTGGCACAGCTGTCCTTGAAAAAGAGCAGTTTGTGTCAGAGCTCTCTCAGCCCCACCCACCTCACAGGGTGTCTGTTGTGGGGAGGGGAAGGGAAAGGAGTTTGTAAGCCTCTCTGAGACACCTTTGGGTAGTGAAGGGCGGGGTATAAATCCAATCTCATCATCATCTCATCATCACTCTCCCTGCGTAACTGCATTAGGTCCCACAGGGCATGGATGTCATTCGGCAGAGAGTTCCGCCAGGTTGAAGCCAGGGCCAAAAAGGCTCTGGCTCTGGTTGAGGACAGCCATACATCTCTCAGGCTGGGGATCACCAGTAAATTCTTCTCTGTAGAGCATGATGCGCTTTGGGGGGTATACCAGGAGAGGCGGTCCCGAAGATATGTGGATTGCAAACCATTTAGGGCTTTAAAGGTTAATATCAAAACTTTGAACCTGATCCGGTACTCCGCCTGGAGCCAGTGCAGCTTGCGCAGCATTGGTTGAATATGTGCTGTCCATGGTGTTACAGTAAGGACCTGCGGCGCTGCATTCTGGACCAGCTGCAGTTTCTGGGTCAGTCTCAAGGGTAGCCCTGTGTAGAGCAAGTTACAGTAGTCCAGTCTGGAGGTGACCATTGTGTGGATTACTGTGGCTAGGTCAGGGCAAGACAGAAAGGGGGCCAGTTGTCTGACCTGGCATAGCTGGAAAAACACCAGTCTGGCAACAATTGTGATTTGGGCCTCCACTGATAAGGAGGCATCCCGAACCACACCCGAACTATTGACAGTAGGTGCCAGTGTTAGGGGCACACTGTCTAGAGTAGGGAGTTGGTATCCCAGTCTTGATTCCCAGCCAGCCAGCCAGCCAGCTCCATTTCAGCCATCCCAACATGGCCTTCAACCAACTGTGAAGAGAGAGAATTGAGTAACAACAACCGCTGTGAAATCACTGACTTTAGCATTTTATTATGCCTTATGGTCTAAATGGTTTTAGAATTGTCTAATTAGCTGCTGTAGATTTTCCTGGAAAATCTACAGCAACCAATGAACTCCGGCCATGAAAGCCTTTGACAACAAATTGTCTAATTGTTTAACTGTTGCTGTCTAATCTATTTTATGTGTATTGTAAATTTTATGCTATTTTATGTAAACCGCCCTGAGCTGGCCTTGGCCAGGAGGGAGGGGTAGAAATGCAATAAATCAACCCCCTCAGCCAAGTTTAGTGAGGCAGTGTCTGGTTAGCCATCCATCAACAGATAAAGGTGGGTGTCATCAGCGTACTGGTAACATCCCAGCCTGAAACTCTGCACCAGTTGGGCGAGGGGACACCTGTAGATGTTAAACAACACCGGAGAGAGGATTGCCCCCTGAGGGACCCCACACACTAAGGGGTACCTAGTTGACACCCTTTCTCCTAGCACTACCCTCTGTCCCCAACCTTGGAGAAATGAGGTAAGCCACTTCAAGACTACCCCACAAACTCCTGTGTCGGTGAGGTTGTTTAGCATGGTGGGAAAGAGCACCTTTGTTAGAAACGTGAAATTTGGTGTGGAACAGTGTTCCCTCTAAGCTGAGTTAGTGTGAGCCAGCTCACAGTTTTTTAGCCTCCAGCTCACACATTTTTGTCTTAGCTCAGGAAGGACGGCTCCAGAGCAAACTAATTTCTGCAGTAGCCAAATCGTTTGCTCACAACTTCAATACCAGCAGCTCACAAAGCAGAATTTTTGCTCACAAGACTCCACAGCTTAGAGGGAACATTGGTGTGGAAGATGGTGACTTTCCTGTAAGCCTTTTTTTCTTTCCACGTAGGTTTTTATTTCAGTTTGTCATTGAACATTCTTTTTTTGCGTAGCGCTAGAAAACCAGGCAGTTCCTCCCCCCTGATACTTGGGCTGTGAATGCTGAAAAAAGCGGAACCCAAAACAAGGTCTGTAACTCACCTCCGGCTGTGTCTCATTTTACCCAGGTGCTTGTGAGTGAGGACTCAGATAGTGATGGAATCGTGGCGCACTTCCCTGCACATGAGAAGCCCATCTGCTGTATGTCTTTCAACCCCAGTGGTAAGAACCTTCGTTGTTTGGGCATTGCGTAGCAAGCAGAATGCTATAATGTGGAGCTGGCTCAGATTAGTCAACTCCTTGAAACCTTCTTGGTGGTGCTCCAGAATTGCCGTTCAAAAACAATTAAGCTAACTTAATTATGGTTAAGTTACAATGTGCATGAACCCTACTGAGAAACTTATTCAGGCTACCGGTATCATTTGAATGCAGGCATGCATGCTGACCAGGTTTCCCCCCTGTCTTTTACTAACCGGGATTGTAAACCAGACCTTAACCCAGCCTTAGAATTCTAGTTTGGGGGGAGGGGGGCATTATTTTCTAAACAGGATTCTCCACTTGAGACAAGGAGAGAGTGAAGTGAGCTTGGCCAACAACCTAGATTTGTGTACATTTTAAGTTAACCATGGTTAAGTTTACTATGTGAATGAATAATTCAATAGTTTATTACGATCCAAGATCAGAAGTCAAGATCATCAACAAAACATTTAAACGTTAGTTGCATATCATAGAGAAAAACACTAACTTCAGTTAGAGGATGCGCCGGCTGTTGTCCCACATGGGTAACCAGAGGTAGTCTCTGAAAAGGATTTATCCCATGCACCCTGCGCAAGATGGGAGGGGGAGGAGCCAGACCCAGGCCTGGCCATGAGAATGGGTTTGTACACAAGCAGGCTTGATGTGACTACAAGGTATAGATAGGAACTTTCAGGCTGGGGCAAGGGATGCTCTGTATTCTTGGTGCTGGGGGGGGGCAACAGTGGGAGGGCTTCCAGTGTCACTGCCCCACTGGTGGACCTCCTGATGGCACCTGGTATTTTTGACCACTGTGTGCCACAGAGTGTTGGACTGGATGGGCCATCGGCCTGATCCAGCATTGGCTTCTCTTACGTTCTTATCATGGATGTTACCATATGAATTAAGCCTGAGGTTGCATGGCTGTTTCTTTATGCTGGGTGTAAAAGCCACAGATGGGGTTCTGATCAGACAGGGACCCTGGAGATCTGAGTTCAAGTCCTTCATGAAGGTGGTGGGTGGCTTCTAGGTCCACCTTCAGCCCCATGTACGTAAGTACGGATGTTACTCTTAAACTCGGTCAGGGCCATCGGGGGAAAGGAGGGTGGAATCTGTTGCAAAAAAGGAGGGACTGTGTGGTCTCAGGCTCTGAACCGTGTTGTGGTTGGTTAGAGTGCTGCACTTGGACCAAGGAGATCTACATTCAAATCCCCACTCTGCCAGGAAGTTCATTGGGTGACCTTAGGTCAGTTGTGCATCCCCAGCACTGACCTACCTCATAAGGTTGTTGTGAGGATAAAATGGGCTAACCCGACTTGAGCTCTTTGGCAGAACGGTGGGATACAATTGTGAGTAATAACAATAAGTGGAGCATTACAGCGGCACTGGACTGTGACGTTACTGCCGATACTCCAAGAACTAGCGCATCTGAGATGTAAGGTAATAGAAAGTTTCCCCATTGGTTGCATTTCCAGAAAGGAATCTTTCCCCCAAAAAAGATTATATTTTATTTCTTGAGGTTTGTGAAAACATTCTCATAGATTTGACACCACTTAACCTTTTTGCACTTATGCTAATGTGTAGCCTGGGGGGGGGGGCGGTAACACAGATCCCTTTCCTAGTCTTAGTTTTTGGACTGGGGGGGGGAGAGAATTGTTGGATGGGGAAAACGATCTGAGAACAATATTTAAAGCCTCAAAGAGAGCACCTTTGCTCCCTCTGCTTCCTCCTTTCAGCTGAATAAGCCTTGTGGGCAGGTAGGATGCATCCTGTCCATGTAATCTTGTCCAGTCGACAGAGTAACTGGTTTATTATCCTTCCTGCGACAGAGTAATAACTTTTTGATTGACTGCATGGCGGTCAGCGAAGAGGGACTGGGGGAGATCAAGAGCTTCCGCTTGCCTAAATTAATGAGTTCTAAAGTGAATTAAAATGCCTTGAAGAGGTTTGGGATGAAATCACATTTCAAAGAACAGAAATGGAATGGATGTCCGATCTCCTGCTTGGAGTGGCCAGTCAGACTTACGGTTGACAGCCCATCTGTTATGTCAGAACTCCTTAATAACTGCACATGGGTTCAGAGCGCCGTTGCTCGTAATGCTTTTGACAGGAAACCAAAAAAATAATAATATTCCAGACAGATTCTCATTGTAGTGTTTGCAGATCTTGACTAGTAATTCTCTGGAAGATTTGCGCTGGCATCGCCCACTGCTTGTTGTCCCGTTTATTTAATTAATCGCATGCTTATCCCTCCAAGAAGCTCAGGATGGTGTACGTAGTTCTTCGCTTCTCCATTTTATCCTCACAACTACCCTATGAAGTGGGCTAGATGGAGAGAGAGAGAGAGAGAGAGAGAGAGAGAGAGAGAGAGAGAGAGAGAGAGAGAGAGAGAGAGATGGGTCCTGAGTGAGTTTTGTGGCATGCCAATGCTCCCTCTAAGCTGTGGAGTCTTGTGGGCAAAAATTCTACCTTGTGAGCTACTGGCATTAAAGTTGTGAGCGAGTGATTTGGCTACTGCATAAGTTAGTTTGCTCTGGAGCCATCCTTCCTGAGCGAAGACAAAAATGTGTGAGCTGGAGGCTAAAAATCTGTGAGCTAGCTCCCACTAACTCAGCTTAGAGGGAACACTAGCCAGGACCCAGTATTCTAACAACTACTCCACACGAGCTCTCTTCTGGTATGACACCGTCTTCCTAAGGAAACATGAAGCTCTTGCCCAAGGATGCATGGATTTCTTTGTGACCAGTTTTTGTCAAGTTTTGAGTGAGGCACGTTTCCTATCCAGTGAAAGTCTCCTGCTTGAGACTCTGGAGAGCCTCTGCCAGTCAGAGTATACCGGGGGTCCCCACCCTTTTCTACCTGCTTTCACATCTGGAATTCTGACACAGCATGGCAAGCAAAGCCACCAAATGGCTGCTGTGGGAGGCAGAGCCAGTCACAAAATGGCTGCTGTGGGAGGCGGAGCCAGTCACAAAATGGCTGCTGCAGGAGGCAGAGCAAGCCACACAATGGCTGCTGTGGGAGGCAGAGCCTGTCACAAAATAACTGCTGTGGGAGGCGGAGCCAGTCACAAAATGGCTGCTGCAGGGGGCAGAGCCAGCCACACAATGGCTGCTGCGGGAGGCAGAGCCAGTCACAAAATGGCTGCTGTGGGAGGCGGAGCCAGCCACACAATGGCTGCTGTGGGAGGCAGAGCCAGTCACAAAATGGATGCTGCAGGAGTCAGAACCAGCCACAAAATGGCTGCCACCACAGCTTACCTTCAGGCACACCGTGAAGATCCCTGTGCTGTGGTTCCAAAGCAACATTTTTAAAAACCTGCGCAGCCAATTGTATCTCCAGATTTTGCTGGGCAAAAGCCTGTCTGACCCTGCCCACTTTCTAAAAGGACTTGGTGTTGGCAGGTGTCATAGCACCCATGGGCACCATGTAAGGGATCCCGGGGGTACACAGTGCTGACTTTGATGGACCACGGGTCTGATTTCGTAGAAGGCAGCTTTATACGTGTTCATGTGTTGTTTAATTCACTTGATTTACCTGTCTTCTAAGTATTAGGAGTTAATCACACAAAGGCCTTATGGCTGTGGTTTGGGGCAAGTGAAAGTAACTAGCTGTCTGAGATTAACACTGTCTTCAAGCGAACCTGGCATGGGGATGAAGAAGAGAAGAGATTGGATTTATACCTCACCCTTCTCTCAGAGTCTCAGAGCGGCTTACAAACTCCTTTCCCTTCCCCTCCCCCTCCCCACAAGAGACACCCTGTGAGGTAGGTGGGGCTGAGAGCACTCTCTCGAGGACTGCCCTTGAGAGAACAGCTCTGAGAGAACTTGTGACTGACCCAAGGTCATGCCAGCAGCTGCGAGTGGAGGAGTGGGAAATCAAACCCAGTTCTCCCAGATCAGAGTCCGCACACTTAACCACGACACCAAATTAAGGTCATCTCAGAGGCTCACTGCCTCTCCTTGTCGTCCATGAGCCTCATACTGAACAAAGTTTGTGGGTCTCACTCTGCTCATCATGTGTTTGTCAGCGACGTAGACCCAGAAATGCAGTTCAGATGCTCAGTGACCCTCATGCAATTGCTTGTGAGTGGGGCTGATAGCAGGGTATAAGCTAGCTGAGTTTCTGGTTGTATGTACCGCTGCTTCCATGCAGAGCCTGTAGAAGAAGAAGAAGAGATTGGATTTATACCCCGCCCTTCACTACCCAAAGGAGTCTCAGAGCGGCTTACAATCTCCTTCCCTTCCCCTCCCCACAACAGACCCCCTGTGAGGGAGGTGGAGCTGAGAGAGCCCTGACTGAGAACTGCTCTTTTTCAAGAACAGCTCTGAGAGAACTACGGCTTGCCCAAGGTCATCCCGCAGGTGCAAGTGGAGGAGAGGGGAATCAAACCCGGGTCTCCCAGATAAGAGTCCGTGCACTTAGCCACTACACCAAACTGTATGCACAAGGTGCTGTGATTTGCACACTGTAGTGGGTTTCTTCACCTCAGAGAAACAAGAGGTAGTTTTCATCTTTGGAAGGTGCCTCCTGTTGATGGAAGACAAAACCCACTTCTAAAATGACATGGGGAGAAGGCCATCTGCCCTCTCAGACCAGGTCTCTCTTTTGGATACGACACGGTTTCTCATTTCTGACATCGCTGTACCTTTTCATCCCTTCGTGGTTCCTCCACTGTCTTCTTCCTTTTAGGCTCCCAAGTCCACATGCAAGCCAAACCAGCTGGACTACTCATTCCTCAAGGAACCTCAGAACATTCATCATCTTTGAAGCTTGGGAAGAAGCATGGTCCCAGTACAACACCCCCCCCCCTCCCAGCAGCACTGGGGAGTTGTTTCCCCTCCCTCAAATGGACAGAAAACACTGCAGATGTCGGAGTGTTGGGAACTGTCTCAAAAGGAGATGGCGTGGAACTGGCAAAGAGCAGATTCATCTACACCCTTGTCACCAGATCTTATGACACTGATGGCTGGTCAAGTATCTCTTGC